GGGGGGGGGGGGGAGCCCATGCTCGGCTTCAGGCTGCCCTGTTGCGCAGGGCTGGGGGGGTTCCCGCAGGAGAGGCTCCCGGCTCACTCTGCCGCCTCCGTAAACAGGAAATCCACAAGCAGCTCCGATCTCCTTTTCGGGAGCGAAGCTGCACAGGGAATTCCTCCCCCTTTACTCACTGCTCTGCAAACCCCAAATACCATCCCCGTGACAGCACGGCTGCTCCAGCCACCCTGCCCCAGCAAACACACCTCGTTCCTCTCCGGGGCTGGAGCTGGAGGTGCGAGGACATGGTGGAGGGGCTTGCAGGTGCCGGGCTCTGGTTGCATGGCTGGGAGGAGCCAGCGTCAAACAGGGCGCTAGGAATGGAGAAAACCCCATTGTCCCTATAGAAAGTCAAGGGGATGCGTGGTCGGGCATCCCGCTGCAGCGAGCGCTGCCTTGTTGCATGGTGCCGAGGGGTGTTCTGGATAGCAAATGCAGGAGTAACTGTTGAAAATGCTTTTTTTCTATATGTATGTATATGAGACATGGGGTGACCAAGGGGTTTCTGTTTCCCCAGGCTGAGGCTGAAGTGGCTTTTCTGCCCCGCCGTATCCAGCTGGTGGAGGAGGAGCTGGACCGAGCCCAGGAGCGCCTGGCCACCGCCCTGCAGAAGCTGGAGGAGGCTGAGAAGGCGGCCGATGAGAGCGAGAGGTGTGACAGGAAGGGACAGCGGGAGTGGCATCGGGTCACCATTGATTGCAGGCAGCCCACTTGGTTTTGCAGTGGGGTCCCTCTGAAGTGACCTTACGGGGATTGCATTGGTTTTCCTGCAGACCTCTAAGCGAGCGAGCAAAGCCACAATGCAGAGAAGTCTCCCAGATACAGGCATTCTTAAAAAGGCTTTGAAATTTCCAGGGAACCCATAAAATCCCCCAAAATTTGTTCAAGGGTTTATACAAATACCAGGCTGTAACCAAAGCCAGAGGGTGCTTGGAGCCTGTTTTCTGCCCCAGAGTAGCCTCCTGTGCTCAAGGGCTGAACAACAGCCCAGGAGAGGACATCTGTGCCTGGGAACCAAGGTCAGCTTTTGAGAATGAGCCAGCCTCATTCAAAAAAACAGTCCTGCAAAGTGTGTTGCCCCATCCTTGTGGCAAGCAGGTTTCCCGGGCAGGCGAGGGCACTTAGATCGTATGGGAGTGCCCAGACATGTTACAGCGTTCCTGACAGTTGCGTGAGCTCTTCTTCCATTGGCAAAGACCAGTTTGAGCAGCAGTATCTGGGCAAGAAGAGAAGAGCCTCCAGGAGTCCCTGCCATGGGCGTTCACAGGGGTTCGGTGACCCCCTGCTTGTGAGCACCACCCCTGAATGGGAAAAGGCTTTGCCACGGGATGTTTTCTAGTATTTTGTAAAGGTTGCTGGCCTGTCAGGCTACTTGTGTGGAGGTTGCAGCTCTCTCATCCTGGGCTGCACACATTTTCCCCTCCAAAAGATGGGTTCAGGACCTGCCTGGTTGAGAGGCACCGTAGCCACATTTCCTCGCTCCAGAACATGGCCCTGGGGCCAGCTCCATTGCTTTAATTGTGTGCAGGAGCATCCTGGGGGTATCACTGGTGTGACCCTACCACGTGGGGTGGCCAGCCAGTGCCAGCATCCCCAGGCCGATGTCCCACTTGTCTCGAGCTGGTAGATGGGTACGGTGAGCGGGCGGGAGTACAGGGGCCACCTCAACCCACAGCAGTAACATCTCCTGGCTTGGGCTTTCCTCAGAGGCATGAAGGTCATCGAGAACAGGGCCATGAAGGATGAGGAGAAGATGGAGCTCCAGGAAATGCAGCTGAAGGAGGCGAAGCACATAGCGGAGGAGGCTGACCGCAAATACGAGGAGGTGCGTGCCCACACCTTCCCCCAATCCTGAACCCCCGGCAGCATCCGGGGCCACCTCCTTGCACCATGTGCCCCCAGCCGGGGCAAGCGCGGGGCTGACGTGTGCTTCTTGCTGCCATCAACAGGTCGCCCGCAAGCTGGTCGTCCTTGAGGGAGAGCTGGAGCGCTCAGAGGAGAGGGCAGAGGTGGCGGAGAGGTGAGCGGGGCTCCCAGTGGGCAGCGCGCGGAGGGTCCCACGCAGCACTCATCCCAAATCCCTGGCATTTGTGGGGACGGGGATGTCCCTCCCTGGGAGCAGCAGGGTCTGCCATCACCACCGGGGTGGTCCTTGGGCTCGCAGGCTGGGGCAGGGGGGGGTGCCGGCAGCACATCCGTGACCCTGTTCTCTGCTGTCCGCCCCCCCCGGGGTGCCCCTCTTCCACCCCAGCCGAGTGAGACAGTTGGAAGAAGAGCTGCGGACCATGGACCAGACCCTCAAATCCCTCATTGCCTCAGAGGAAGAGGTACTGGGGCAGGGGCGCGGGGCGACGCGCAGCAGCCCACTCTCTCTGTCGCTGCCTCTCGAACCATGCGAGCCACCTCTCTCCTCTCTGCACCGCTGCCTCCGCCACCAGCCTCCCCCTGCCTCCCGCTCCAGCGGGCGCAGGCTGGGCACGCTCCTCCATCCCTCCATGCCTGCTCTCCTTCTTGGTGGGGCTGGCAAGGGCCTGGCCCAGTGATGCACGGGGCGTCCGTGTGAGGAGGCGTGAGGAACAGATGAATGGATGCGTCCCAGCAGCTCCCGCTCGCAGCGGCTCTGCTCCTTCTCCACCTGCGCTGAGTTTTCTCCTCTCTCAACTTGTTCTCTCTCTTTTCTTTCCTCCTTCCCCACGCCCGCTCTTTCTGCTCCCCACTCCCTTCTTCACCCGCCCCTCGGCCCTGCTCCCCCTCCTGGCTTGGGATGTAGTAAATGTGGTGACCTAGAGGAGGAGCTGAAAATTGTCACCAACAACTTGAAGTCCCTGGAGGCCCAGGCTGACAAGGTAGGACCTGGCGGGGCTGCTGGGGCTGGGCGGAGTGCGTGGGGTCTGGGGGGTCTGGGGTCTCCTGCTGGGGTGAAGGATGTCTGGAGGTGTTCCATGGGGCTCACGGGTGCCTGTGTCTGTCTCTGCAGTATTCCACCAAGGAGGACAAGTACGAGGAGGAAATCAAGCTTCTAGGGGAAAAACTGAAGGAGGTAAGTGGTGCGGGGCCAGTGCTGTATTGGTGCAGGCATGAGTTTGCCATCCTGTGTGGGTTTTGACCCCGTCACACCCATGTCCTCTCACCCTTCCCAAAACAGCCACCTGCAGCCTGGTAGGTGCCTGGGTTTGGGGTGCCCCCGTGGGGGGCATCAGCCTGCTCTGGTTTAGGGTGTGAGGGTCCACGAGGCCCTTGTCCCTTCACTTTCCCAGGGGAGGGCTTGTAGGGGGGTGGTACAGGAGATGCATACAGGGCAGATTTGGGGTGTGGCGCAGCCTGCACCATCCCTGTTGTGCCCCGCTGCTCACCCTCTTCCCCTCATGCTTCTGCAGGCTGAGACCCGAGCGGAGTTTGCAGAGAGGTCTGTGGCAAAGCTGGAGAAAACCATCGATGATCTAGAAGGTAAAATGTTCCCTCCAGCACCATGCCCCTCTTTCCCCGGCGAGCTCTTGCCTGGCCGTGCCCCTGGCAGGGCTGGACAGGGTTCGTCCAGGGTGAGGGGGTGGGCAGGGGTCCTGGGAGGGGGGAAGCCAGATGACACTCCGCTGTCCGCCCCCTGCTCTGCTCCACCGTCTGCCCCCCACACGCCCCCCACCTGCAGACGAAGTGTATGCGCAGAAGATGAAGTACAAAGCCATCAGCGAGGAGCTGGACAATGCACTTAACGACATCACCTCCCTCTGAGCGCCCCGCTGGGCACCAGCACTGCACCCCCCTGCCTGCCTCTCCCCTCCCCAGCTCGGCCGCTTGCCTGCCCGGCCATCCCACCGCTCTCCTTGCCCGCTGCGTCCTCTGCCCTTCCTAGCCCATGCCTGACATCAGCTCCTTTGGGACAGGAGCTGTCTTGGGGTGTTCCCGCAATACCCCTCTTTGTGGGGATATGAGGTGTAGGTGCTTAGGGGTGTTTGGCAGGGGAGCAGCCCCTAGGACCCCCGCACGCTGGGCAGACAGTGCAGGTCCATGCCCCAGCATTGCCCAGTGGTGCACAGGGCTGTGCCCAGGAGCCAGTTGCCCCAGCAGCTCCCTCCTTGGCTCCCCAGCAAGCACAAGCACTGGGGGCCCTGCAGCTCCGGGGCCGGGGATCCACATCCCCCCCACCCACCCGGCAAAGCCCCCTGGTGCTGCTTGCTGGGCCCAGGGTGGGGAGGACCCACACAGTGGAAGCAGCATCTCCTCTGCCAAAGCTCAGGCCCTGGGGATGGAGGGTTGGGTCCGGCTGTGCGGGCAGCCAGGTCCCAGGCAGGCAGCCCCCAGACCCCCAGCTCCTCCCTTGCCCCTGCCTCCCTTCTGTCCTTTGCACATCGCTCTTCAGTTTGCATTTCATGACTTTTCTTTTATGTTCTATCCCTCTGGGTTACTGCATTGGTCTCAATAAAGTGTTTTCTTTCCTTGGTTTCTCCTTTGTTTTCTTCATGCTGCTCTGTCCCTCATCTCCTGCCTGTCTCACGTGGGTGCTGGCAGCCGGGTGGTAGGAGGTGGCGGCGGGCAGCCCAGCCATGGGGCCCTCGGGGTGGCTGTGGCTGAGCCCCGAGCAGCTCCTGCGCTGTCAGGCTGAGCAGGATGGGGCCCTTTGTGCCTCGGCCTGGGGGATGACCCCCACCACCCCCCCTGGCTCTCATACATGGCTTTCCTCATCTCGTGCCACCTTCTCCATGACTCTCTTGGCCTGAAATGGCAGGGCTAGGCCTGGTCCTGTCCATTTCCCATCCCACTCCCAGACATGGCCTGCAAGCAGCGGTCTCAGCCCTGGCATCTCTCCTGCATCATCCTCCCTCAACGAAGGGGATGACCCTGCCCTTCAGCAGCCATCCCTAAATGGGTCCCTGATCATCCATCATCCTCATCTTCCTCCTTCCTCAGTAATTTACCCTGCCTCACCACCCAGTTCCCACACTGGTGGACCCACAGCCCTGTCCCTGCCCTGGGACCTCCTTCTGGCCCCGCTCATCCCCACTGCTGGCTGGGCGGCTGCAGGGTTTGCAGCGAGGGCTTCAGGGAACGCTGTCTCTTTTCACTAACTCGCCTTTCTCTCTCTCTTCCCTCTGCTGCGTTGATGTCTCCATTTTCTCTAGAGCGCTCCCGGCAGGAGGCCGAGAAAAACCGTGTTCTCACTAACGAGCTGCGGGTCATCCTTACTGAACTTAACAACTGAGTTGCCCAGAGCCCCCGGCCCCAATGCAGCCTCCCTGCCCTGTTTTGGCCAGGCTGGCTCAGGGCTGGGAGCCCCTACCCGCTCCCCGCCAGTGCTAGGCAGAGTGTGGAGCCTTGGCTTATCCCCCCTGGGGTAACCACCCTCCTTGGTGGGGGACAGGGAGACCCTCTGGAGCTGATTGGTTTTTCTTGGGAGAGGAATGAGGGGTTTTGTGATGTCCTGGGCTGCCCATGTGGTGATGGCTGTCCTCCGGCGTCAGCCTGGCTCTGCCAGGGAGGGATGCAGTGGTTTGTATTGCTGCCTTCCTCCCCTTGTCCCAGGAGTCGGTAGCCAGCCTCTTCCTCCTCACTCTGGTCACCCCAAACTGTGCAGGGAGGATCCCCTCAGAGTGGGGTCCTGCAGGGTGCTGGGAGGGCTGGGAAAGGAGCTGGGGACCCGGCAGCACCTGCTGCCCCAAACTTGGGACAGGGAAGAGCCCAGCAGGGAGCAGTGGGAGATGGGGCTGGGTAGGCAGAGCTCTTGTCCCATCCCCATCTCTAGAGGGAAGGAGGATGCCATGTGGAAGCGAGCGCCGGAGGAGGAGGCTGCCTCAGCATTGGGCTGCCTGGCAGAGCTTGTCCCTGAAGCCTTGTTGGCTCTGCTCCTTCTCTCTCTGCTGTCCTCTCTGTCCACCTTCCCGGGTTGCTGTCTCACTCCTCTTCTTCACGGAGCACCGCTGGGTCATGCAGCAGGCACTGGCTCTCCTCTTTTCGCTGGCTGAGGGCTTGTGCACGTGCCCACAGCTGGCCGGTGGTGATGCCCCAGGGCAGGACGTGCTGGTGGCTGGCTGGGGGAATGGTACCTGCCAGGGGTACCCATGCTGCAGAGGGCCCAGACATGGGCAACGCAGCACCATGTGAGGATGGAAATGCTGAAGAATGGGTACCACCTGCCCCCAGTGACTGGCTTGGCTGCCCCGGCAGGTCCCGGAGTGGCTGAGCTCATCCCTGCCGGTGGTGGGGCTGCTTGTGCGGACTCTGCTCCGCAGGGACGCCCCGCCCGGCTGGAGGCTGCCGCCATACTGAAATGTCCATCTGTGTGCGTGTGTCTGTGCTTGGTGTGGTGTGCGTGGGTCTGGCTGCACCTGGGTACACTTGGGCTGTGTCTGTGTGCGTGGCTGGGTGTCCCTTGTATTCACAGAGAGTCTGGCCAGTGCCAAAGAGGAGAATGTGGGCATCCACCAGGTCCTGGACCAGACCTTGTTGGAGCTGAACAACCTCTGAGCTGCCCTGGGGAGCCCCCATCCCTCTTCCCTACCCCACACGTGCACCCCACTGGCACGCTCAGGATGTCATCAGCTGAACTGCGTCTTGGCCAAATCCACACATCCATTGAGAAGGGAAGCCCTGCGGCCTTACACCATGGCTTGGGGGCATCTTGTCTGTGCACAGCCTGACTGGCTCTGTCCTGTCTTCATGTCCAAATATTAAAGCAGTTTGACAAGATGGATGGCTGCGCTTGGTCCTTGTGGGTGGATGCAGGCTCTGGGAGGCGTGGTAGGGGTCTCCCCGCCCAGTTCATGCAAGGAGGATCTGCAGGGGCTTGGGTCCAGGGCGAGTATGGCCAGCATAAGGATGTCCTCTGCAGCTGTGGGGGGGCTGGGAGCAGTAATGCACATGGTTTGGGCTGTGTTCCCTCGTCTCCATCACTTCCTTGGGATGCACAGGAAACCTCCACATCTCAAGCACTGTCTGAACCAACCATCCTCTTCAAGTGCGCAGTGATAGACTTATGTCACTGGCGTGCCCCCTGCCACAGCCAGCATGTTCCCTGCTTGGGGAAGCCACAAGGTCTTTGACCTCTCCACGGAGCCTGCTTCATGGTTCACGTTCACGATGCCACCTGAGCCTGCGTACAAGCATGTGACCATGCACGCACATGTTATTAGTTATTGGGGTCTTCTCCAGGTCTGTGGTTAGCTGCTTACCTCGTGTACTAGTTGCATTTTCTATTGCTAGTCGCTGAATCCCTGCCTGAGGGACAGCTGGATAAACTAGCAAATACTAATGCATCAGGCAACCACTTCCCAAAGCATTCAGGAACTTTGCCCCCTGGCTTGCTGTATTTTCTCCAGCGCAAAGAGAAGAGCAGCAGGATGTGCCTCATCGCTGTCACCAAAATGGGCTGGATTCCCTGGGGATGCCCAAAGCCATGATCTAGTCCTGCTCTCCGCTTTGGGCCTCTCCATGATGCGCACTGAGCCCTGTTGTCTCACGCTACCCAGCGGATATCCCTCTAAAAGTACAGCCTCATGCTGCCAGGAAACGTAATTCATGCTGACCCCTTGCTGAGCCAGGCCATTGCCCCAGCGAGCGGCCGGCGGGGATAGCTTTCGTTATCTGCTTTCCTTTATTTGCTGCGCCTCTCGGCTCAGGAAAGGCGGGTGGTGAGATTGCATCTTTTTCCTGCCCAGGTGCTGCCGGCCACCTGCCCTCCGCCTGGCCTGGCACCTCTGGACTGTAGCTCCCAGACCTTCTCCTACAGGGAAAAGGTCTCCCCTTGCATGGGGGTGCTCATTTTCTGGTTGTCCTCCCAGGATGGGAGACCCGCCGTGAGCCGCAGCCTCCCACCCTGGATGGTGCCTGGCTGTCCTGGCCCGCCAAGCTGGCCCTGAGTAAGGGCTGGAGCTCCTCCTTGGGTCGGCCTTGCTTTTCGGCAGCACATCAGCTGAGCCATTGCGTTGTTTGCACCTTCCAGGGAGGGGCTTGTCTGGCTGCAAAAGGAACAAGAGTGTAAATCCACCTCTTCTCTGGAAGCCTGCACCCCGCACAGCAAACAAGCCTGCCCTGAACTCCTATCAGGGTGCGTCCCCAGCGCCCAGCCTCTGGGTGCCCTTCGCCTTCCTGCTGGGACAAAGAGCCCTTTCACGCTGGGTGTTTTTCCCCATTAGCTGCTGCCGCCTCCTGGTTTGGACCAGTCCATTGAACTTAACCATTTACACCCTTCTGGAAGGGCCTTATTTTTTTTTTTTTCCCCTCTGAACTTTCTGTGGTTTGGCAGTGGGATCCTGAATGCCGTTCCTGGGTGATGGCTCTGCCCCAGAGACATGAGCCTATCTTTCGTGGTTCAGCAAAGCTTTGCATTTTCTCCATCCTTCCACCCACCTCCTTCCTGCCAAGGCCCTGCAGAAATAGGCAGGCTGGGGGAAGCTCTGGGGGGCCGGGGCATTGTGGAGCTGCTGGCAGGGGAGCTCAGCGTGGAGGCACATCTCCCCAAATGCGTCACTCAGACCCACGCTCAGGACCGCAGCATCCATCCCCTCCTCCCTCCCCCTGCACCTCTCCCGTTGAATTTCAACCTTTGGATTTGTTTATCTTAGCCTGACAGACCAAAGATCTCCCCGAAGAGCTTTCAGCCTTGGTGTGGGCTGCCACCCCGTTGATAAACCGCATTAACCCCTGGCAGCCTTTCACCTCCGCTCCCCTCTTCAGTTTTCTCATTGCTCTGGTGCCTCATCTCATCTCTGAATCCTTCCTGCTCAATACCCTCGAACTACGCGCTGGAGAGGAAGGGACCACACAAAGAGCATCACAGAGACGTTTTGATCAGACACGACGAGCCATGCAGAGCTGGACACAGACCCTCCCCACCCCCAGTCCCGCCCCGCATTTACAGCCCGAGACATTTGGGCGGGAAGAGCCGCGTTGCCCATCTGTGCGGGCTTCGCAGGGCTCCAGGTGATTTCGGAACAGGTCAAGCCACCTCAGGCCGAAGAGGCACGCAGGGCGCCCGGTCTCCAGACTGGCGTTACTGACCTGCCGATCGCAGCAGAGGCCAGGGCAGCTGGGGGAGAGCGGGGGCGGCCCCC